AAGAATATTCACGTCAAATGAATATGCATCCTCATTCATCCTGATTTTTTGTGAACTCTACGTCTTTTAGTCTAAAACTACGTGTTGGGGTCTTTCTTTTTATGTATTGCATCTGGAGCATATAATTTCAATGACCAGCAGTAATCAGCCATCATGCTGATGTTTTACCTTCCCTGAGACCTCCTGTCTATTTTCCTGATGTCTTGATGAAATATTTCCCCTTGTTCTTCGCTGATGGCACCAAAATTTTCAAGGAAATAGTCAATATGTGAGCGTAAGAAATGAGCTTTCAAGCTCATATTACAACCCAACTCTTTGAATTTATCGAGCATGTTATTGACAATATTTTCGTAATTTGGATCCTTGTTGGTTCCTAAAAATTTGTGAATAACATCTTTAAAGGCAATCCACGCTTCTTTTTCAAGTTTCCTCATTGTCCTTTCGAACTGTTCATCCAAAGTCAATTTCCTAATCTGAGGCCCAACAAAAATTCCTTCTTTAAGTTTCGCTTCTAAAAGAACTGGGAAGTGTTCACATAGATACTTGAAACAGTCGCCATCTTTGTGTAAGGCCTTTAAAATCTGCTTCATCAAGCCCAATTTTATGTGAAGTGGAGGAAATAGGACTTTCTTTGTGTCAACTAAAGTTTCAAGTTCATTGTGTTTCTATCCTGGTATCAGGCTGACTCTGCGTGGCCATTACTACTTTATCCAGTGCTGATTTCGTGCTCTGCTGTCCCATTCACACAAAAAACATGGATACTTTGTATTTGATCCAACAACATACAAAGGACTTTTAAGTTTCCATAAAGTAGCCAACCATGTTCTTTGTATTTTACCTTATTAAGAAGAAGTTCGAGATTTTCGTACGGTTCTTTCAAGTGAACTGAATGAGCAATAGGAACAGATGCATATATGTTATCATTGTGAAGGAGAACACCTTTTAGACTTCTTTTGGAGGAATCGATGAACAATCGCCACTCACTTAGTTCATAGACTGCAGCTTCTAGCATTGGTATTAATTCAGCAGTATTGTTGCAATAAACAAAAGAAAAGTATGGTATAAACTCTTTCTCACGATTTATGTACCAGTAAAATGATGTCCCTGGAGAAAGTAAGTTCTTAGCCCGAAGTCTGGACCACAAAATCTCTGAATAATCCTTTGGAAGGCCCAAATTTCTCATCAAGTCATTAAGTTCACCTTGTATGAAAAGTTATGGTTCATTATACGTTTCAGGTTGACAACAATCCCTATCATTATTTCTATTGACATCAGATTCAGAATCAGATGAAACTGTATCAAAAGTCTCCAGTGGAGTAGGAACAGGTACATAAGGTCCATGAACAACATGTCTTATAGGAGATTGAAGGTTCGGATAAGAAATTTCCTTTTTATTTCGAGTGTTGTAGCGTTATATGAGCAAAAATGTAGTCATCTCCGTGGTTTCTAGGCTCACGCCAGACCATTGGAATTCCAAAAGGCAAATACTTTTTTCTTACCTTTAGTCCTATTGTCTCAATCTTCG